CACGCTTCACATTCCGCGTTATTAGTAACCTCAAAGTCTAATTTGACAGAGATTGGAGTATGTGCTCCCTCTGGACTTATGAGTAACACCCCTACGCCACATCCTTTTTGATTGGATGCATCGTCGAAGTACGTTACCCATTTGTTATCTTGTGTCATGAGAATCTCTTCATCCGGAAGATGAGTAGTTTCTGCATGACTTGCTTTAATTGGTTGTTGGGCTAGAAAGTCGGAAATCCCTTTTTCTTTCATTGACTTTTCAGGAATATATTTTAGCTTGAATTCAGCCAACATCACCAACCACTTGGATCTCCTTCCTTGTATAGGTGGTTGTTCAAACAAATACTTTATCGGATTTTGTTGAGAAATTACATGAGTGGTGTGTGGTAGCATATAATGTCGTAGTTTTTAGTTTCCCACATTAACGCTAGACTTGTTTTTTCCAAGGTGATATATTTTGTTTCATATTGAATGAACTTTTTACTTATGAAATATATTGCACGCTTGACTTTTTCTAGCTCTAGCTTGTGCTAACATGGCGCCTGTGGCTGTGTATGAACTGTGATGTATAGCCTAAGAGGTAGTTTAGGTACTAGTGGTGCTAAAATTGGTGGACTTTTAAGATAATCTTTGATTTTCTCAAAGGTCTTTTGGCATTGACCGTCCCATTAATGTTTTTCCTCTTTTTTTTTAATATTTCAAATATTGGCTCGTAAGTCATAGTCAATTTGTTAATGAATCGACTAATGTATTGCAATTTACCAAGGAACCCCCTAATTTCTTTTTCTGTTTGAGGGGGAGGCATGTCAACAATTGCCTTTATATTAGAGGGATCGATCTCAATACCACGTGTGCTTACTACGTATCCGAGTAACTTGCCGAAAGTTACTCCGAAGCCGTATTTTTGTGGTTTCAATCGCATTTTGTATTCTTTTATGCGAGTGAAAAATTTACGTAAAGATTTTATATGTCCCATTCTATCTTTGGAATTTACTATCATATCATCCACATACACTTCTATCTCTTTATGCATCATATCGTGCAAAAGAGTCGTAGCCGTTCTTTGGTACGTAGCTCCTGCATTTTTTAAACAAAATGGCATGACTGTGTAGCAATATGTACCCCAAGGGGTAATAAAGCATGTCTTCTTTTTGTCTTCTTTTTACATTAAAATTTGGTTGTAACCTGCGTATCCATCCTTAAAGGATAACATCGCATGTTCAGTCGTGTTATCTACCAATATGTCAATATGTGGTAGAGGAAAATCGTCTTTAGGCTAGCCTTTTTAAGGTCCCTAAAATTGACACACATGCAAACTCGTCCATCCTTTTTGGGGACTGGGACGATGTTCGCCACCCATTCTGGGTAATTACATATGCGAATGAAACCAGCGTCCAATTGCTACTGTACTTCTTCTTTTATTTTTAATGCAACATAAGGTTTCATTCGTCGAAGTTTTTGTTTTACTGGTTTTGAGGTAGGGTTCAAGGGAATGGTATGTTCCGCGATTTCCCTATCTATTATAGTCATGTCCTTATATGACCAAGCAAACACGTCTTTGAATTCTTTGAGCGTCGATATGAGGGTCGATCGTTCTTCCAGATTTAGAGTTAAGCTAATTTTGACTTCTCTTTTGTTTTATTTGGTTCCTATATTGACTATTTCAGTTTCTTCAATGATAATGTTCTTTTGTTCTCATTCATTCATTAGTTCAACCAATTTTTTAATGTTATAATCTTTATTAGATTGATTGTTATAGCATTCGAAAGATTCAAGAGAAGGCATATACTCGGAAATAGTGCTCATATTATTAAATTAAAAAGAGAGTACATTAAGAGAAGAATCCTTTTTGGGATCCTTATCCTTAGAACTAGAAAAAAAAGATTCAGTAATGGCCACATGGCCTAAATTTTCAGCTTTCCTAGAGTCTATGATAGATTCATCGTCTAATTCTTCAAACATCTTCCCTTCGCCTGTGATGATCTCCAATTTATTGCCTTTGTTATTGGTCCATTTGAAAGATTTCCTCCATCCATGCTCAAAGGTTTTATTAGAAGGGGTAATGAACGAGGTTGGGTCAAAAGCTTCATCTTGAATGGCATTCTAATTGGTCATTGTAGCGACATGATTTTGCTCTAGTCTAAAAAGCAACTTAAATGCTTGCCCATCATAGCACCCTAGAATTGGGCGTTTTGATTCAACGATTTTAAGGTCGTCATTCAAGAAGTAGCGATCGTGGAATATTTCAAATCCCGGCTTCTTGATTCCTTCCAGAACTAATGGTTTTGTAAAGTCGTAGCATGGGTAATCTTCTCCCTCCCTAATGAATTGTCCATTAAGGGTTCGTTGGTAGGATGGGAGTAAAGTGATTATCCCTTTCTTGTTGTTGTCTCTACATGTTTTGTTTTTTGCATCGTGATAAACTAGTATTTCTTTAGTTGGTTTATATCCCAATCCAAAGGAGAATCTTTTCTTTGGGATAGGAAGTAAGAGGGATTTCTTCATTCCCTTTCCCAAAGGCAACCTAGGAAAGTAAATACTCTTGAATAAGATGTTGTTTACTATCTTGGTAGAACACAGATCAAGCTTGAATGATTCTTCAAGGCTTTCTTCCATTTCAATTGTGTAGATTGGATCTACGGCAAATCCCCACATGTCCTCTTCATCATTATTATGGTTTATTTCCAAAAGTCATTAGTCATTTATGGCTATTTTGAGTGGAGAAGCATGTATAGTCATAGGAAGCCCTTGATAGTTCAACCTAATCATTTGATGAAGTGAGGATTGTATTGCACCAAGCTCATGTATCCAAGGACGTCCAAGTAAAAGGCTGAATGTAGGTTTAATGTCCATAACATGGAATTCAACCATCTTTTGAATTTAGCCTGTGGTAATTGGTAGCTTAACAGTTTCACACACCGATCTTCTCGAGTTGTCGTAGGCCCTAATGCTTTGTGTTGTTGATTGAAGGTCTATTTCTGGATTAAGGCCTAAATATTTCGCAGTTCGCAATGGGCATACATTTACAGCTGACCCATTATCTACCAAAGTAAGAGGGATGTTGTATCCCTTGCACCCCACAGTTAAGTATAATGCATTATTGTGGGTAGTGCCTTTTGAAGGCAAATCATCATTATTGAAAATGGTTGATTTGTTAGATTTTTCGCTAGTAAGCAAGCTAACGAGATCCTGAGTGATTGTGTTTGTGCTTACAGGCAAGGCCGTTAGAGCATTCATAAGAGAATTCCTATGTTCTTTAGAAGTATTTAAGAGTTCCCACATGCTAACACTCGCCTTAGATTGGCGAAGTTGTTTAACCAATGGATCTTCTACCTCAAGTGGAGGCGGTATTGTGTTTTGCATTTGACATTGAGTTTGATTTTGTGTGGTCGAAGATCCATTTGGTGGTGGTGGTGCTTGATAAATTCGCCCAGAACGAGTTAGATGATCTACCTCATTTGGATTAGTCGTAGGACTCACAAACCAACTTTCTTCTACAGGCTTTGGATGTGCCTCCATTTTAAGATGTTCCATGAGTTATGCTTGATGCCATTGTTCATCCAAGAAGAGATTTGATAGGTCTTGTGACTTCCCCAAGAAATGATCCCAATCAAGCACTCCATTTGTCTCATTTTGTAAACAAGATGGAGATGAGAGGACGGCATACTTAGCGACATATAAGTCTTGAAAGTTGTCGCCCATAATCCACATACTTCCTTAGTTTCCCCTATGAGTATTGTGGCTAGAGGTTTTTCTATAGGTGTGATATAGTCCAAAGGATTAAACGTACCACTTCCATATAATCCTCATCAATATGAAATACCCCTATGATAAGCACAATAAAAAATCTTGTCTAAAAAATCTTGTATTTTGTGCATTAAAACGTAGCAGCATTCAGTATCGTGCCTAACTCCCCTATGATAAGCACAATAAGCATTACCATCCCATTGAGGAAACCTTTTTTCTGGTGGAGTGGGTGGTGTTGGCCCTGTTGGCGCAAGTAAGCCTTTTTCACTTAATTTTTCTAATGAATCTTTATAGATAGCTTACAAGAAATGGTGTAAATTTTCATTATTTTGTCCACCTCCTTCTAGGATCATTATTATTGTATTGATTTGTATTATTATATTGTGTGGTGGTTGCGAATACATCAATAGAGGATGATGTATTATCATTCCCCTTTTTATAGTTATTCTTAGGTTGATGATGATTATGGGGTTTATTTGCTTTTTCTTTAGCAAGATCATCTTCAATCCTAGTAGCCACAGAATAGACCTTTTGAAAAGTGTCTGAACCATGGTAGCATAGATGTTTGTTATACTTTTCATGACAGTTGTCGATGAATTTTTGTACCAACTCGAGTTTAGGTGGCCTTTGGGCAAGGTGGGCCGCCTTTTCTCGCCATCTACCATAGAAAGCAAGGAAACCTTCATCGTCACCTTGCTTAAGTATTTTGAGCTCACGTAGAGTCGATTTGAACTCTATGTTACTCTAGTATTTGGTAATGAAAGACAAAACTACATCTTCCCATGATGTTTTAAATTTTGGATCCAACAACGTACTAGTAGAATAAGGCTCATTTGCGTCGCTCATTTACAGTGTATTTGTGTCGCTTCTATGAGCGACGCAACTGCTTGCGACGCAAATGACTTTTAAATCATTTGCGTTGCTCCTAGGCGCGATGGAAATAAGAGTTATTTGCGTCACTCCTTTATAAACAAGTGACGCAAATAGTTGTTCTGAGCAATTTCTTGTTTTTTATTTGCGTGACTTGTTTATATAGGAGTGACACAAATGACTTACTAGGCAATAAAAATGCGAGTTATTTGCGTCACTTGTTTGTTTAATGAGTGACGCAAATGATGTGATTTTTTTTATTTTTAATTATAATAATTGCTTGTATATGTTTGTAATACATGTTTCCCTTGGTAGTGGTATAATGTAATATGCTAACGCCAATAATTGAAATTAAAATGCAATATTAATGAATGCAATTGTAAATTTCGGCAGAGTTTCCTTTGTATTTTGGCCTACCCATAAAATTGGGAGTGACGGCATATATATTAACAACCTGTCCAATAAGTTTACATCTCAATATCATTGACATTATACTCATCATCCCAACACCAATTAACCAAATTCATTCATATCCAGCCTATAATCCAAAATAAGAGTCCAACATTTGCTAAGTGTAAATCTAAAGTTCAACATTACATATAAAATACTCTGCCCAAATATCTCGAATCTTATTTATCTCCTCCTCAGTATACGGTGTAGTTCATGAAAAATCCTATCAACACAACAAATATACAAGAGGAAAGTTTTAATTCAAGATTGTAGCTAACATAAAATTGTATTTATCAAACAAAAATGAAATATTTGACAACTCATACCTTAATAAGATCCTTACTGCTATGATGATGTTCAAGTATTTTGTACATATAACGCATGACGTAGTAGCCACACTCACGTAGATTCTCTTTCTTGTGATAGAAAACCAGACATACAATCAGCTACAAACGCATCATTGGAATGTTTCTCACTTTCTCAAGGGTATCTACATGGAGCATATACTGGCAATCTGATATTACATATACCTGAGTTCTCTATACAAGTATACAGACCAAAAACCTAATGAAAATATAAATAAATATGTGAACATCATCCTAATCATGATATATAATTACACAATAAGACATAAGTAAGATAGACTCAATAATTATAACTGCAGCTATTCTGAAAATTTCAAGCATAGAGAGGGTGTTTCAATCAGACACTTGATTGGAAAGCAATTAACAAACCAATGTAATTAATTTTACAAGCATTGCCCTACTATTGTACATTAAAAATTTTCAATGGAACAATGATGACTAAGCAATCTATTCATAATAGCTAACAACAATAGAGCAGCGAGAACATAAATATGTGAGTTGTGACCTTGCACAAAAGAAGTTAATAAAGCATGTAATTCTACATACTACAAAAAAAAATGACATCTAGTAGGCTACTCATTCATCTAGCCAACTTTTGCACCTTAATAATCGATGGTGGTATCAATGATAATCAGTTTTTTTTATACCAGGACCAGGAAGAACCAAGATTTAAACAGAACAAAACTATGCTATATTGCTACAACTCAATATGTTTTACCTAAGTAGAGAACAAAATTTCAGATAGAGGAAACTACATGCATTAAAATATGTAGCTGCATATGACATATATAAGTGAAGTTAGTAAGATTGTGTTTCTTAGAAGTAAATTATATTGCTTAAATCCCTGTAAGATTCAGATTTTAAAAGTTCTACAATATTATACCAGATAACAAAAGATAAGCCATAAATTCCAGGGACTTCATATACAAGGATATATCTAAAATTCAGTTACTAAAGTCAGGTTTTGTCAAGTGGTAAGCTAGAAAGTCTGATAAGCAGTTCTTCTTGCAAGGTTTGTTCTCCTTGAAGTTTTATACAAATTCATAGCTTTTTTTTTCTAAGTTTTTCTAACATAGCTATAGCCTATTTAAAGGCCTAAATTTATCAATAATATTTAGTTTTTCAGTCCCCTAAAACCCCCCACCCCAACAACTAAGCCTTAGAACTTGGATACAAGTTTATTAGACACCTTAATTGCATTATATGAACAGATTTTGTACAGGTATATTATAGCTGCTTATAATTCAATGCGAACCACTACAAAAGTCATAAACATCTATTTAAAAAGATTCTAACATTATAAAATCAAACGATATTACCCATATAACATCAAGGTAATTTAAAGTAGCGAATATCCAAAGCATAAAACTAAAAGATTAAAAAAAATCTGAAATATATAGAAGCAGGGGATATGTTATTAAGCACTCATTATAGACATCCAAATACATTAATCATTGGCTCATATATTAAACAACATAAATTATTAAACAAGCAATAAACATACCTGATCAATGTCTTTTTCTCGGCCTCTTCTTTTTGACAGGGAGTTCTTCAAGTGATGTTTGTATATAGACAACATATAATGGAATTATAGCTCCAATGATTGATTAAATAGAAATAAAAAACCAGATTAATAAGGCAAAACAGAATCAAATTTGACGAAATAAGTAAACACATAGTAATGAGAAATTGACAAAACCCAAAGCATTCGTTAAATCGTTTGGACTGTAGCAAAGTAGATAAAAATTAAGCAAAATTAAAAGGGGAAATTAGCAAAACTAAAAGATTAATGAGAAAAACCTTCTTTAAGGATGAGGAAATTCAGCAAATTGTATGGGTTGAATGAAATTCACAAATAGACTTGAAGAATTAAGCAAATTTTAAGATCAAATTTAGCAAAAGGGCAACAAATTCAATGTTTGGGGTTCTTCACGCAAAAATTCGAGATTAAAATCAATTAGCAATTCACAATGGAAACCAAATTAATCAAAAAATTGGACAACAAACTCAAAGATAACCCTAAAATTTGTTTAAATGGCAAATTGCAAAAACACAAGGATATTGGACCAGCAACATAGATAATAAATATTTAATTTAAAGCAAATTTGCTCACTCTCAATCAGTGCGAATTGAATACAGAACATCTCCTCCTTCAACTCTCCATCAGCATAATCACTAGCAACCCACATACAAGATTTTTTATACCCGACATGCTCTTGAAACATCATACCCGCAATAACTACAAATACAAATTGATCATTCATAGAAAAAACTCATTAATTCAAGCAATTTCACATAGTAATTATACAAAAAAACAAAACCTAGAACAATTAACAAATGATAGAAATAAAGTCACATACTCAGATGATTAGCACAGATCTTAAGAGTTTTAGATTGCCACATAACCAATCGAACTTTCTTAGAAACCTTATGCTTTAGAAACTTCACTGTACCTACCCCTTTCTTTCCATTGATTTCCTTCTTATAAAATATTTAAAGCTTTGCTTTTCTAATAATATTTCCAAAACACAAACAATTAGAAATAATAAAACATCACAATAACCTTTGAAAGCTGAACATATCCCTAAATTAGAGGCAAAATTCAAAGATTGAATCAATAACTTCATTGAAAACAACAATTGAAGAGCACCAAATTAAAAATAACACAAAACCCTAAAAATCAGGACAAAAAAAAACCTGGGATTGTGGCAAAATTCAACCATTAAATCAACAAAAATCATAAATAAAACAAGGGTTCATATTTTTTGGGGTTTTAGGTTCGAATTTCTGCTCGAATTGGGGGTTTTGGCTCGGAAATGATCAATTTTTCTAGGGTTTTTAGGGTTCGAAATTGCTGGGGGTTCAGGTTGGAATTTTTGCTCAAATTAGGGGGTTTTGGCTGGAAATTTTTTGACTTTTTTAGGGTTTGCAGGGTTTGCATTTGCTGGGAGTTTATACAACGAACGTCTGCTCGAATGGGGGGGGGGGTTATGCTTAATTTTTATGGTGTTTTTAGTGTTCGATTTTGCTTGGGATTTTGGTTTGATTTTGTGCTTGAAAATGGGAAATTTTTGGCTTCGATCTTTCTATTTTTCTAGGTTTTGGTTTGGTCGAGTTGCTGTGTTGAATTCAGTTGTTGAAGGCAACAACAAATGGGTAGCAAGAGTATTTTTTTGTGGGTATATCGCATTTGGAGGCAGCAGCAAATGGCGAGATGGTAGAAAATTTAGAATTAACTACTAACCTATACTTATAAACGTCGCTCAATAATTAAAGAATTGACGCAAATAACTTAAATGTAATGATGTGAATTAACTATTTGCGTCGCTCACTAATTAAAGAAGTGACGCAAATAACTCACAAACTCATTTGCGTCACTTGTCCCTAAAGGAGTGACGCAAATAAGACTGTTATTTGTGTCGTTCTAATAAATAAACGCGACGCAAATAACATAAAGCTGAAACATATCAGGCTTTTGTGTCTCTTCATAGCTAATGAGCGACGCAAATAAATTATAATGAAGCTAAAATATATCATTTTCTTTGCTTGTTTCTATGAGTGATGCAAAAGAGGCGACGTATATGAAAGTTTTTCTACTAGTGAACCCATAGTACAATTCTCTCGCGTTGGGTCTAAAGATAAAGGGAAAGTCAAAGCATAGAGTTTAGGATCAACTCCCTTTAATGCCATGGTGCAAGTAAAACACATTAAGTGGTTTTGTGGATTATTGATCACCTTAAATATTGGCAAGTCCGTAGCTACGAACTTTTTTGGCAAAGCAAGTCCCGAGGGAGGAGCAAAGTTTTCTGCGTCGAAGTACTTGTTCCCCATGGTAGAACGAAGAACAAGCTTCTCTAACGACTTTTTTTTAACGGATAATTGTTCCATCTTTTGTTTCAAGGCTAGAGCCTCGGCATTTTTCTTTTCGGCTTTTTTAAGTTTCTTGATTCTTCTTTCCTCGGCCTCTTGAGCCTTTTTTTTCTCTTAATCGAGCAATCTCTTCTTGGAGTTGTTCGATGGTTGACATTCTTGTTGGACTAGGACTATTTGTCGAGGGAAAGTGGTTTGAAAGAGGTGGGTTACTTGAGGATAAACGTAGAATACAAGTGCCCGGGAGTCTTCGTTCCCAAGCTTGAGAACCGACTCCAAAGGAAGTACGAGAGAATAAGTGAATCGATACGCTTGTTTAAAAGAGAAAAAAAATGATGCAAAATATATCCGCACGAGTAACATCACCCTTAAACAATTTTCCGATGGAGGTATTGATATGTCTATTTTATATAGTGTTTTACCCCCGTCCCTTGGTCATAATTAGTAGTGTTTTTGGCCCTTTAGGGCCACTTTTATTACTAATATGTGTTTTCTAGTGCTTTCGTAGTTTTGGTTAAGTTTTGCAGGGAATTGCACCTTTCGAGCATTTTCCCGGGATTTTTATGAAGCGACTACGAGCATTGGAGGAACACGACCACTTTTGGAGCCCAAGGCTGGCTAGAGCCATCGAGCCGGTGATTAAGGGCTCGGTTATTTAGATCACGAGGCAATTGGACCATGTATTTGAGACCCGAGAGGAAATATGGATTGGGCCAAGAAATTTAGCACAATCGAAGTCCAAGCCTAGAAGATGAAGACCGGGCCCGATCAGGCAAGCATACGCCCGATCGGGCAGTTGCGCGCATGAAGGCTATCAAAAAAGGCGCGCCCGATCAGGTGAGCGTGAGCTCGATCGGGCGCGACACTTTAGACTGGGCATAGAAAAAAGGCGGGCCCGATCGGGCGCGTGTTTTTCGTAGTGTCTGATTTAGTTTAGTTAATTCTTGTTTTAGGGGAAGTATATATACGTTTTGAACGGATTATTTACTTACCTTCTTTCTCTTAGACTTTCTCTCTCTACTTAGTATTTTTCTCTCTCTTAAATTCTCTCTAACTCTTGTTCTTAATTCCTTCATTAATTCCAGATTTAGTTTGGTACAATTTCTTCCCTTTTTAATTTCAGCTATTTTAATTATTTTCTTGTTTATGTTTTAAGTTATTTATTCGATTGGATTAGTTATGATGATTAGTGAGTAGTTTAATTCTAGGGTTTATGGGGATCCATAATTAATATGAAGGGATAGTTTGTTGTTATTGATTATTGATATTGCATGATAATTTCCTATTGAATTGTTTTAATTCTTTGCAATTAGATTATGAATCGAGCAGATGTAATTTGATTATGAATGTTTAGCAATATTGAATTGATGAATCGAGCAGATGTTGATTTAATATTAAAGGCCATTTTTAATAGGAACTTAGGTCTAATAAATTGCGAGAGCCTGTTAGATCTATGTTGGTTAATAAATTGCGAGAGCCTGTTAATCATATTATCTATGCATTGTTAATTATTAATTACTTCGTTCTATCCCGGAATATTAATTATTGGTGAACTTGTGACCCTAGGTTTCCTTATTATTGATTCTTTTCTCCCTAAACTCATTCTTCGTAGTATAGAATTCACATTCAAAATATTGGTTACTTAGATAATTTAGATTATATTAATTAATTAGAATTAAAAAGACCTGTTTCCCTGTGGAGTTCGACCCAAATTCCCTATCTACCTTAGTTAGTGATTTAGGTAATTACTTTTGATTAGGGGATACGACTTTACCCTGTCAAAATTTGGCACCGTTGCCGGGGAGACGGTTTTATTTTTATTTTCTGATTATATTTTTGTAGTGTAGATTATCCCCCTTTTGCCTCAGAGAACATTAGTTCTTTGAGGCAAATCTCATTTTTGTCTCTAGTTCTTTGTTTATGCCCATGTGTTCTAGATCAGGTGATATCCCTTTTGATCCTAAGATCGAGCGTTCTTTTCATAGGCAAATGAGACTCTCTAGACAAATTCTGGCGGATTCTGAGGAGGACAACGATCGAAGAGATCCTCCCACTGATTCTAGTGATACAGATATTCCTTCATATTCAGAATCAGAGATAACGGCCCAGAAGAAACTCAGTGATTATTCGCAACCGAAGCTCACAGATTTCCCGCACCTTACTCCTACTCCGGCTCTAGATGGAGTTCAATTTGAGATCAAGCCCCAATTTATCACTATGATAGAGAGGAAGTAGTTCAGCGGAGCTAAGGGTGAAGATCCTAATCTTCACGTCGCAGATTTCAACCAATATTGTAACACCATTAGACAAGCCGGGGTTACGCAGGACCAAATCAGGGAGATTCTTTTTCCCTTTTCTTTATGTGGCAAAGAAAAATTATGGTTTAATGGTTTGAATAGAATTGCACTTGGTATTACTGACTGGGAAACTCTTGCTTTGAACTTCTATAATAAATATTATCCTGCAGAGAGAACATCGGTGCTAAGAAGTGCTATTCAGAACTTCGCTCAAGAGGCCGACGAAACATTATATGAGGCTTGGGAGAGGTTCAAGGATCTACAGAGAGAGTGCCCCCACCACAATCTAGCACAATGGCAATTGATCCAAGCATTCTATAATGGACTTGGAAATTCTTCTAGATTAGTACTAGATTCGGCAGCTAGTGGGAGGTTTATGAATTTAAATGTGGATGATGCAGGACAGGTTATCGAAGACATGGCAATACACAATTCCCAATATGGGAATCCGAGGGGGTTTGCAAATAAGGGAAAACATAATGTCGATTCCGTATCCTTTTTGCAAGCTCAATTAACATCTATTTGCCAAAAATTAGATAATCTTACTGCTGCTCCTAACTCTGTAGCTAATGTTTATGCTGTTGCTAACCATGAAGCTTTTTGTGAAAATTGTGGAATTGTAGGTCATTGGGAGCAAGATTGTTGGAGCTTTATGGAACAAGTTAATGCCTTCCAAACCTATAGGCAAAATAACCCCTATTCCAATTCCTACAATGTCGGTTATAAAAACCATCCTTATCTTTCGTACCGGAGTACCAATGTACAAAACCCTCCACCTCCACAACAACCACAACAGCAACCCCCACCACAGCAAAAATATTATCATCCAAATGCCGGCCAGAAAAGCCAAGCATCACCCTCATCATCTTCCGACCCTGCCATGACAGAAATTAGAGCGATGCTAGCTAATATGCAAAAGCACATGGAGAGTAGGGATGCGCAAATTGATTCTATTCTAGCCCATAATAAAATCATGGACAATCAAATTGCACAACTTTCATCTACCCTACAATCCCGTCAGCAGGGAGCTCTACCATCACAACCTATCCATCCTACAGATCATGCTAGAAGCTTCTTGGGTCATGCGGGGTTTTATCGCCGCTTTATCAAAGATTTTTCTAAAATTGCTAAACCACTGACACAACTTTTGCTAAAGGATGCCCCATTTTTTTTTACTAATGAGTGTCTCTTGAGGCTTTTCACAGGATTAAGCAGGCTTTAATATCGGCACCCATCATATGTGCTCCCGATTGGAACCTCCCTTTTGAGATCATGTGTGACGCAAGTGACTTTGCACTAGGATCCGTGCTCGGACAGAGGAAGGATAAGGTTTTGCATGTTATTTACTATGCTAGCAAAACCTTAGATGAAGCTCAAGTCAACTATGTCACCACAGAAAAATTTAGATCATATCTAGTTGGTTCTAAAGTTATTGTTTTTACTGATCATGCAGCATTGAAATACTTGATAGCCAAAGAGGAATCAAAGCCAAGGCTACTCTGTTGGGTTCTCTTGCTCCAAGATTTCAACATTGAAATAAAAGATAAAATGGGAGCAGAGAACGTAGTGGCAGACCACTTGTCACGTATCAGGTATGATGAGGGTAAGGATTCTTTACCTATAGATGATTCTTTCCCTGATGACAACCTGTATGCAGTTGTAGAGCATCACCCTTGGTACGCCGATTTTGCTAATTATTTAGTGGGTGGTACTCTACCTCCTGACTTGTCCTACCAACAGAAAAAGAAATTCCTTTATGATGTTAAACATTATTTTTGGGATGACCCCTTTTTGTTTCGTGAGTGTGCAGATGGATTATTTCGCAGGTGTATTCCCAAATGGGAGGTTCACGGCGTCCTTACCAGTTGTCATACTTCACCATATGGTGGACATCATGGCCCCACTAAAACGGTGGCTAAGATTAATGATTCAGGCTTCTTTTGGCCTACTATGTTTAAAGATGCTAACACTTTTGTGCAGGCTTGTGACTCTTACCAGAGGATTGGCAACATTTTGCGGAGGCATGAGATGCCCCAAACTGGGATTCTCGATGTTGAAATATTTGATGTTTGGGGTATCGATTATATGGTGCCGTTCCCATCTTCCAATGGGAATTGTTACATACTTGTAGCCGTCGATTATGTGTCCAAGTGGGTAGAAGCCATAGCTTCACCAACAAATGACTCCAAGGTGGTCATTAAGCTCTTCAAGAAGATCAT